TCTCTATAATATTATGACTTATATATTTTAATAGCATTTCACACAAAAATTAATTAAAAATCTTATTTCATTTAAAAGATATTAAAATTTCAAATTTTTTGGCAGGTTTGATTGACACATCCTTACTAGTAGTTCATTGAATTTTCTCTCCCCAAACACATTCTCTCTTTCCATAAGAAATTTTGTATATGCAGTCGCAATATTTAGTTTCTTCCTAAGTCATCGATTTACCTTTCCTAAAGTTACGACATAACTTAGGAATATCTTAAGATAAGACAAGGTTAGTGAAACAGATAAGTAATGACATAGGAAAAAGTTCCTTCCTAAGATATAACTTAGTCCTAAGTAGGCTTTGTGAAACAGGCCCCTGGCATTTTCATCATGATTTCAAAAGCATGCACACACAGTGCCTGAACAATTATAGTAGAAATACAGTGGGGATTGTAAATTTAGGTTTGCACCAATCCAATATGGGAATTTTGTTTATTATACCCCCCGCTTGAAAATAGTATAGTAAATCGGTATTTCAGTCCCATCCGTCTGTTACGCTTTGGGGTACTCATCTCTTATCCTTTTTAACTCCTCTCATACCACTGAAGGAAATTTAGTGAAACTTTCTCAGAATCTTTATTACATATTGCCATTGTGCACCTCCTATTTTACTTTTTGATCTGACACATATTTTGGATTTTCCAGAGGAAAACATGGACACAGCCATTTTATTCATATGGGGGGGGGGTATCATTTAGTGAGCTCATTGCTCACAGTACCTCTAGTTTTTTAGCAGTTTTTATTCATTTCTTTCTCAGTATTATGAAACCTAGCTAAAACATTTAAATTCTAAAACATAATCTTATCTGAGGTTGATTGAATATCTTAATAAAAAAATAATTTTCCTCTCTTTCTCTCTATGTTTTGTTTGGCTATATTTATAAGTTCTTGTTTCCTGTCGCAAAGAAAAAAGTGGAGAAGGAGACATGGAGTCACTGATATAAATTTATATCTAATATTGTATAAAGTTCTAACAATATAAACCCATCAAATCCCACCAAAATTTAATTAAGTTTTCATAGTCTTAAAAAAATTAGATATTTTTTCCACTTTTTTTTTTGTGTTATTAATAACTTAAATTTAATTCTTATGTTTGTAAACTATCATTATTGGTGGACATATAATTATGTACAATACTGATATGCGTATCACATGAACATCGCTCGCTCTTTTTTTTTTTTTTTTTTTTTTTAACATGTTCTGGCTTAAGGAAGAATGCCACACCATTTTATATGAATATATTTTTTTGTAAAACTTAATTGTAATAAAATGTTACTTACATGCCATAGGTGCTTGATGTTTTAAACTTATTAATTTTTATACAAATATTCCAGTTACTTTGTATAATACATAGTGGATTTTTTATTTATGAAAAATAGGCTTAAAACATAAAGTGCCAGTGTTACATGCTGTAGTAAGGAAGGGGGTCACATACTTTATAAATTTAACAAATGAATCAATATATTTTTTTCTATTTTCTTATTCAAAACCTTTATTCCAAGGGGGGGGGGGATTGTGAAAAATATGTACATGCAATGTAGACCAAAATCTGGTTCAAAGTAATTGTGAACCCTCCCTATCTCCTCCAAACAAGTTTACCTCATTGCAAATTGAAAGACCCCTTCTACTTTTCACACCTTTCCTGGACATGACAAAAGAACTGTGTATTTCTTGTATATTCTATGCGAATTGGAAGGTTTTACAGTTTGACACCTGGCCAGGAGAACAATAAACATGCGACTTCATAGGTATGTGTATACCAGGTGGATTATCACCTGATCTTCCTCAGATTCTACCTTAGATCTGATTTATACAGTACACATACAACAGCATTTCAGTTGACCCCCACCCCTCCACAACATATTTCATTAATTTTCTTTTTTGCACAACTGCCTCTATATGTCATCATTTGCTTTAAATATAAAATTAGCTCATATCCTAAAGTAATCCCCAAAAAGTAGATGAACTTTATTTATAAAAGTAATCTTATTTGTTAACTTTAATTTTTTCTTTTTAATTAAATTAATATTTATTGTCAAAATTTCTGTTTACCAAAAATTATGCAGTATTTATTATGATCACATGATATACATGTAATCATGATCTAAGACTACTTGTATAAAAATAATTAACAAATCAGAGGCGGCAGCTAGGCCAGAGGCATATGCTTTTAAATTCAAAATACTTGTAAATTTCTCTTCTTTCCTTCTATTTTCTACTTAATAATCATATTCTCTTCTTTTTATGATACCTATGTAAATTGGCAGAAGAATAAAATGCATGCCATATATAAAAACTAACACCTAAGTTCACCTGCTCGTTACATATAGCTGCAAGACTGCAGCTCTAATAGGAAAAATTGGGATGGAAAACCTAGAGCTACAGTGCCATCTATTGAAAAAAAAAACTTTTACAAGTCTGTTATTTCTCTATTTCTTTCTCTGTTTACATGCATTTAAACTAGCTGCCACCTAAAAATTTCACTGGCTTTTCCTAGCATACTTGATTTTGCAACTTTATAATTCCACTGCAAAACATTTCCCAAACCCAATGTTTACATACCTTCTGAGCCTTAAATTTAAATTATCATCAAAATTTTCACAGATTTATATGCATGTATTACCAGGGTACGTGTATATACTGCCATATTTTAGAGCTACATTGAAAGAACATATAAATGTCCTATGCCGAACCTGATCTAGAATTTAGTTTAATTTAAGAAAAAAAAGAAAAGAAAAATAATTTCCTCTAATCCAAAGTACTCGATCAATTCAGGAGACTTAAAAAAAAAAAATCAGGTCGGTGGATCCGTAAACCAAGAAATAAACAAAATGTCACCTTATATATGATCAATCAGAAATTTTGAATCAAGTCAAAAAGTTTTATCAAGATTTATATTCTAATACAGATTATAAACTGATTGATATTGATTTAGAAGAAATTATTAACTCAACTGAAATTCAAAAATTAGATAAAATCACTTCCTTGATTAAGAAAAAGATATTGAAGAAAATGAAGTTTTACAAGTTTTAAAAAATATGAAGAATGATAAATCTCCTGGAAGTGATATGGTAAAGCTTAATTTACAACTGAATTTTTTTTTAATTTTTCTGGAGTGATCTTTAAGTCTACATACATTATGCGAGCTACAAATTGTATATTGTCAAAAAAAAAGAAATTCCTATTTCACATAGACTAGGGATAATTTCATGTATACCCAATGGGAATAAACCCAGACAATTTTTGAACAATTGGAGACCATAACTCTACTAAATTACAGAATAAAATATACTCTGGATCTTTTGATTTCAGACACTCACACTTAATTCCTAAAAGGAAGATATTTGGGTGAAAACACCAGATTTATTTATGATTTAATGGCATACACAGAAGCTAAAAATATACAAGGATTGTTGGTTTTAATCGATTTTGAAAAAGCTTTTGATTCAATTTCATTGTTCATGGTCTTTTATTTATAAAGTATTGAACTATGTTAATTTAGGAAATAATATAATAAATTAATTGGATAAAAATTCTTAATACAAATTTTAAAGCATCTGAGTTTTGCAATGCAGATTTTTATCAGATAAGTGACATATATTATATTCATGGTGATGGGAGGGGCTTAAATAAAAAAAAAATCTCTGTGCTGGTAAAAATCTCAAATCTACCAGCCCATATGATACTTGATAGCAGGGACCTAGCTACCCATGGTATATACTTTTGTTAAAAAAAGGTATTAAATGATCTGTTCAAAGTACTAGTACTATTTACAAATATATTAATAAAGTTTAGCTAAACTTGTTTAGAAATTACTAGTATATAACTTTAATTTACTAATCAAAATTGAATTGGATAAGATAAATACAGTGTATATGGTAATTTAAATTAGTCTGGCCTGAAATGGAAGTAAATGATCACCCAATCCTACATGATCACAATGATTTGATCAGTTTGTGTATAGTACACACCATCAGGTACTGTTAGTAGAGTTTGTGTTTGTCAGACAGAGTGGGGGTACAGGTAAATCATTTGCGATAGGTATACAGTATCAGGTGTGTCATGCAATGCTCAAGTCTGGAATATAATTATCAGTGTAGCTAATTATAACTCCAAGAATCAGGACTATTATAATCATAATTAAAGGTAAGAAGCTGACTTATACCCTCTTAAATACTTACATGAGTGTGGTTGTTTTTTGTAATTAGACCTTTGAAGCCATTAGGTCATGATCATGCTAATATGAATCAAACACTTTAAGTTATGAAAATGTCAATTGTTGTGATTTTGTAGGCATATAGTTTCCTCCGTACCCTGTTTAAATTCTAAAATCAAATAGTTTTAGGATAAAAGTAGAAAAGGTGTTATTACTGTTAATTATGTTAATAAGTAACCACTGTACCCATTGTAACCCGGCTACATTGACAGTCCTTCAGAAATTTTCTACTTTCATTTTCCAATGGTTTTGTACTGTACCCTAATTGTTACCTTATTGGTAAAGGATAAATAGAAGTGTACCCTAGGGTACAAAAGTATCACCTAAAAACACAGTACCAATTTCTTGCCATATATGTGAACTTGGAGCAGGATACAGGCACCCGACTTAAGTTAACGTATTTTTCTTTCAATAAAAAAAAATATAACCCCTACCTAATAATACACAGGCAACCGACTTAACTTATTTTTCTTTTAATGAAAAATTATACCCCTACCTTGGCTAATGTAGGGGATATACCAGTATTTTATGAGAGAAAAATTAGAGACGTCAGATGGAGCCGGGTTAAAGTTTTTGGGGACAAACAGACAGACGGGTGGCATAAAATATATTTAAAAAATCAAACCCCAATGACAACGAAAGGGAAATGTTTAAATCGAAATTTCATTGATCGAACTGCCTACAATTCTGAAACCGGATGTTTATAAAAAAAATTGTAAATAGGAAAATTTTCATCGTCATGTTTACATTTCAAAGCCAATCCTCTTTTGCTCTGGGGATTTTGTGCACTTATAAGTAGCGTATTATGACTGCGTAAATAGTGATCAACACGAACAATTAGATACATTTCTGATAAAGTTACTTTTTTGTTTAAAGTTAAAAACTTTTGGTTAATGTAGAAATACCGTTAGGACTGTGATAATGGATCTCTTAAATCTAATTAAAAAGAAATCATCTCCTCTTAAAAAGTTAGAAATAGCAATCACGGAGAATAATGTCAAGGAATTGAAAGAAGTCCTCGAAAGTGGCGTGGATCCAAACGCTGAAATACAAACACAGGGAGGAAACTGTGCTCTACATATAGCTGCTCACAATGGCTACTTTCTTTGCGTGGAGACATTATTAAAATACCATGCAGATCCCGAGAAGACTAATCATTTCAACCTGACACCTCTTTACATTGCTCTCAGAAGAAATCAGGCCAGGTGTGCTGAAATTCTCTTACGAATCAACAAAGTGATGATGAGCATTGACCCAGTATGGATGCAAATGAACAATGCAGTTAATGTTTGGAACGGTTCAAATGATACAATGATTTCTGTGTTAATAAAAGCAACTCCAGATTTAGAAAGATGTAGGAGCAACTTGAAAAGTAATTTGCTTTACTTGTGTAAAGCCAAAAATATGTATGGAAGTTTACACACCATGGCTATAAGTGGTTTCCGGTTCAGCAAGGAAGAGAAACAATATTTTTTGAACTCACCTCTTGAAAGTGACAAAGAATTTCATGCCTGGTTGAATAACTTTTGTAAACAACCTCAGCGACTTATGCATTATTGTAGATTAAAGATTCGACGTAGCTTTCTTGGAAATTGCAATGTTTATTATGGAGCTGAGATATTACCTGTCCCAAAACTTTTAAAAGATTACATCATCATCAAGGATATTAATGAAGTTGATATGTAAAATTAATTAAACTTGACTTGCACCTGTAAGATCCACTGGTAATCTTGTCTGTAATGTCATATAATTGATGAATCTAGTGGTGAGCACCCAGCAAATATCTCATGTATTATATATCAATATGCTGTCACACAAGTTCATGCAAAGCACATTCAAGCAAGATTGGATTCTGTACACTTCGAATAAATTTTTTTCTGATAAATCTACAGTGTTTTATGTCTCATAAAACCAGAATTTAAGAAATATTGATAGCTTAATACTTCAGTTTTTGTGATGAAAATCTAAACCCAGGTTTTTTCTTTCATATTTTATATAATGTACAAGTAAAGAGCATTGTATCATTTTATAACTGTTTTATTTTGATACATATCAAGTTGTAGATATTAATTTATAACCAATAAACTTGTAATTTTAGTTACATATTTATGTAGTGGTTAAATTTGAAGCTGGATGAGAATTTTATGTACATGTATCATTCAATTTATAATTTTGCCAATTAAAAAAAACTGTTGAAAAACTGTCCCTCTATTGTAGTTCCACTGTAGTCTAAGGGGCCAATAAATGAATATTTAACAGTGAGGTTGTTCTTTTATAGAGTTTTAATTGGTCCCACCATATTTTTGCAATTTCTCAGTTGTGTTCTTTTGAAATATGGTGATATTTACCTGGCCCAAAAAAAGTGAAAAAAGAAATTGAATGAAAACCCAAGTTTCATTGTCACATACACAGTGATATATAACTGCAAGTTTGTTAATAAAAGTAGGTCGCCAAGTGCTCATTAATAGAAACATAAAATAAAAACATCAACATGTTTTATTGAATTAAATATGAACATCGAATTTGAGGTAATTGAAGTCGAGCTACATTGCAGATTTTGTTTCCCATCTTTGTTTATGCTCAAATCTGAAGATTAGAAAAGATGAGATTATAATCAAAGGAGAGTGAAGAATACAGGGCTCACCTCAAGGAATACTACCTCCTTTAAGTAACAACAAATAAGCTAGTAGTGTGCATTACTAAGTCCAGGTGGGGCTTCACTACTGCACAGTTACTTTGAAATGGACTTGTTCTACATGTAAAAAATACAGGTCAGATCCAGCATCTGAAATATGTAGTGTGCATCTTAAGATGTATCATCCATGCAAGTTTGCTGTATTAGTATGGCTAGAAGTTACTCTGGTACAACCCTGCTCCAAAAAAGTACACCTAGACACTTTCAAAAAAATATATAACCAATCCAGCATCCAAAGTTCTGATGATAGTGTGCATCCTTATTATCATCCATGCAAGTTTGGTCAAGATTAGTGATGTTATATTGGAATGAGCCTGCTCACAAAACTTTGAACCTTGTCCTTCATTAAAAACAATTGAGTTAAATCCAGCATCCAAAGCAAGTCTAGTAGTGGGCATTCCTTGATGCATCATCCATGCAACTTAAGTTCAGGTACATTTTTATACTTTTTCTGCCATGACCTTGAATTTCCTAGAATGACTGAGGGTCCTTGACAAGCACATTGTCCACCTCCAGATAATGAGGTGCCCTCATCTCTTTCAAAGTGTTGATACTTGTGTGGTGAAAAGAACACCCGGGTCCTAACATGAACACCAAATGTAACAGAGACATTTTATGTGTCCCTACCGGGGTTTGAACCCAGGACCTCTGGCTTGCCAGTCCAGTGCTCTACCAATTGAGCTAAAAGGTTAACTCACTAGCCCAAGCTAGTAGGAAGCCATGTATCTGAAACTACCACAAAAAAGTTATAGCCTGAAAGAAAAGACAAACAAAGTGATCCCTATAATCCCTTCCCCATTTCAATCTTCATCTGTGGAGGTATAAAACATAAACCTGCTTGGAAAACATAAATCTATTAATCACTATGAATAACTAAAAATATGTCCATAGGACATGAATGCCCCGCCGAGGATATATTAGTAAAGCAACATGAAAATTTGTATGTGAATAAAATTTGATCAGTTTGGTTCAGGTAGGGCTTATAGTTAGTAGGCACTAGGGAATAAAAATGTAGGTCAGATCCAGCATCCGAAGCAAGTCTGGTAGTTACTTGGGAATGAAAATATAGGTCAGATCCAGCATCCAAAGCAAGTCTGGTAGTGTCCGTCCCTAGATGCATCATCCATGCAAGTTTGGTTCAGGTAGGGCTTATAGTTACTTGGGAATGAAAATATATAACAGATTCAGCATCCAAGCAAGTCTGGTAGTGTGCATCCCTAGATGCATCATCCAGTTTGGTTCAGGTAGGGCTTATAGTTTCAAGGGAATGAAAATATAGGTCAGATCCAGCATCCAAAGCAAATCTGGTAGTGTCCATCCCTAGATGCATCATCCATGCAAGTTTGGTTCAGGCAGGGCTTATAATTACTTGGAAATGAAAATATAGGTCAGATCCAGCATCCAAAGCAAGTCTGGTAGTGTCCATCCCTAGATGCATCATCCATGCAAGTTTGGTTCAGGTAGGGCTTATAGTTACAATGGAATGAAAATGTAGGTCAGATCAAGCATCCGAAGCAAGTCTGGTAGTGTCCATCGCTAGATGCATCTTCCATGCAAGTTTTTGGTTCAGGCAGGGCTTATAGTTACTTGGGAATGAAAATGTAGGTCAGATCCAGCATCGGAAGCAAGTCTGGTAGTGTCTATCCTTAGATGCATCATCCATGCAAGTTTGGTCCAAGTAGGGCTTATAGTTCCTTAGGAATGAACCTGCTCCAAAAACTGTAACCTGGTCACTCATCTAGAAAATGTAGGTCAGATCCAGCATCCAAAGCAAGTCTTGTAGTGTTCATCCCTAGATGCATCATCCGTGCAAGTTTATATCAACATGTGAAGTTTAATAATACCATCTTGAATGGTATGTTTAAAACTGAGCTAAATGCTAATTCAAGAAAAGTGAGGTCAAGGTCAAAGGAAAGGTCAAGGTCAAAAAATGTTGATGCAGTTGCATAGCTCTCATCAATATCTATCAGCATATGAAGTTTGATGAAAATATCTTGGATAGTTTCTTTGAAACTTAGCTTTGAACAGAGCTAAACGCAAAGTGTGACGGAAGGACGGAAGGACAGAAGGACGGAAAGACAGAGGATGGACATGACAAACACTATATGCCCCGGCCATATTCATGGCGGGGCATAAAAATGAATCATCTGACACCTGACTGGTACAATCTTGGAACAAATTAGAAACATCAAATCTGGTCTGCTAACCTGAGATGCTGACCCTAATAAAGAGGGTTTTTAATACATCAGTCTCACTAACTTCCTTGAGGTGAGCTTAAAAACAGAGATTCATAACAAACAACGAAAAAATTATGCCAGGAACATTCTTCCAGACAAAAGTGCAGAATATGTAACAAGTTACACATTTACAAGTACTAGGGTAATGTATATTTATTTAAATAGCTGAAACACTTTGAAGTATATGTACTGCAGTTTTTTTTCCTTGCAATATAAGTAATTACTGACATACCCCCAAGGTAATTTCTTTTTATTTTTTTCTTTGCTTGACTCTTTCTTCTCCTGTGTAAATAAACACAAATGACACTGTATTTAATGGAAAATAAAACACGGTTAAGCATAAAACAACCTTCCAAAAAAAAAGAAAAAAACAAATCAGATGATGTATTTTAACTAAGTCTTGCATGACATATCTTTGTTGCATAACATTCTCATGGTTTGAGGGGAAAACATTTTGTGGGATTTTATTTTGGGTTGAAGAAGTGCCAAGTTAATCATTATTTCGATTTCACATCACAGTGTACATGTACATGGAGGATGTGAATTTGTATGTCTCTTCATGCCACAAAAGCAAAAAAATTTATCTCTCCCCCACAAAAAGTAGTGATTTCATAGTATATTGTGACAGTCATCATCATCAACTATAATACATATTGTATAACTAAAATATTGTCATTCACAACAAAGATATTTTTTCAGGCTTTGACAGAAAAATTATTTGAACTATCAATATGACATAAATCATAGAAATTTAAATTTATAATCTTTTATACCTCTAATTGCTGACTAAACTTTTTGGCATCAATAGCATCTGCAATCTTTTTTCCAAACTGTAATTAATTAAATTTATTTAAAAACTATTCCATTAGACCACGCATATATTTTACTTATATTAAATCTATAAACTACATAAATTATGCAATAATTTTATTTTTCAACAGAGATCAAGATTAGATGAAAATGTGGAAATTTTGGCTATATAGTTTAGCTAGCTAGGTCTATAAAAACTCTATGAAATGAAAGTGTTGAAGTTTGAATACCTCTCTGGTAGACATATAATCACTAAGTTCCTCAGCTGTTTTAAAGTCTGCTTCTTTAATGGATTCATCAATTTTTTGTTCTAATGATGACTTTGGTCCATATTTTCCAGGATCTGTGCCTTTAAGATGATCATTAACATTCAGAAATCCTTTAATGCTCTTCCATTCACTGTTCTTTAGTTCATCTTTTGGCTCACTATTAAAGTTAAGATTACAAAATACACTCTTTGGTTTTCAGGTATATAAAGCATGAAAACATTGTTGCATATCCTTACATCATGTACATAGTACATGTACATAGTAATAGGTATATACATGTACATTGTAGGTATATACTTGTACAGAACTGCTAAAATGTAATTAAACTATCGGAAAACGTATGAGGACCACATAACATGATTGTTTCAACCATTTTCCCCTGCAGAATGTAAATCTGTTCTTACAATTTAGTTTGCTTTAATTAAATCCTTGGTCTTTCCATCAATGAAACTCTAAAACGTTTTATTATATGATTGAATAATTTCAATCTCTCTGATTGGCTGAGATCCAACTATGTTAGAAAAATATTACGTTGTATTGACCTGCACGTGACGTTCCAGGTCAATACAAGGATTTATTTCCTCTACATTTACCTAAAAATAGATTCGCAAATTCAAAATTTATATAAATTTTTTTAAAAAGCTATTTAAAAGCTATTTAAACGACTATGATTTTTATTTTCATGTGAAAAAACAGCAAATATACATTTTGGGTGAGGAGGTAAGAGGGGATGCAGGGACACACATCCCCCTCCATCACTTTTTCTGAACAACATTTTTTTAAAAAACTTTTTGGTAGTCAGTTTTTCCTAATAAAACTCCTTCCATTCAAAATCTATTCCATAAAAAAGACTGACAATATATATTTCTCTCATGGCATTTTTTTTTTTTTTACAAAAATTGATTTTAAAAAACATTTCAAATTGATACGACTGGTAAGGTTTATTCACATTTAGATTCTGCTACTCTCTTGTATTTGGCTAGGGCTTAATAAAATGCAAGCAAGTAATTAGCTGTATCATTTTATCAGTGAATCATATAATAAAACAATTATTGCTGATTGTTTTCGGTCAATACAATGATTTAGCCATCTTCGAACAATATTCACCTCGCCCTTCGGGCTCGGTGAATATTGTACTCCTCAGATGGCTAAATCATTGTATTGACCTCAAAAACCAGCAATAATTGTATATTATGGTAACAATTATTGCAACGTTTTGTTGAACAATTATTGAATGTTTTACACTACCGGAAAATGTATAAGGACCACATAGCATGATTGATTGAACCGTTTTTCCCATTAGATCGTAAATCAATTCTTACTATTTAGTTTACTTTAATTAAATCCTTGCATGGTCTTTCTATCAATGAAACTCTTAAATGTCTTCATAATTGAAACTTTTTGTATCTAATAATTTCCTACTTTTCACATTCAGGGTGCTTTCTCTTCCTTGAGGTACATGGATCATCCTTTACAGCTGGTCCAAACTTCACATCATGTTGACGTAGAATATCTTTGTCTTCCTCATCTGTAATCTCCTTTTGAACTAATAATGTAATATAAATTAATATACATGTAGTAGCATTTAAAAAAAATACAATACCAACTTTAACAAAATAATGAAACATTTATTTATAAATTTATATCTTAAAACTTTTCATTCAAATAAACATTTGATAATAAAAAATCGCACATGAATATTTTTTCTCAAATTGAATAGAATGCTTTGAAATTTTGTTCCAAAGAAACCAGTATTATTTTGACATTTTATGTGGCAGTCGGACAGCTTCGGTTGCTATTACATTTGTATAGCAGATCAAGGATTGCTCATGTTGTTCAAGTGTTTGGGAATTCATTATCATACTGTAGGACACTGAAAGGAACTTTTCCCTGCTAATTGATCCAGGGGTCCATGAACATTTAAAATGTATGAACCCATCAAAACGAAGAATCACTACCAACCATTCCAGATGTATCAAGTAATAATCGAGATGATAAGGACTAATTATTTCAAGTAATTTAAAAATACTGGATTTTTATTTGTTAAATTAACAGATTAAAGAAAATCACATACTTTTCTGCATTAAATTTTTCTGTAGATGTTTAATTCTTTTCTCTGCTGATCTCTTGGTAACTTCATCTGTCTTTTTCTCCAATGCCTTAAATTTCTGAAAATAAGCATTTTGTTATTTAAAAAAAATACAAAATAAAAAGTAATACCGATTCTTATGTTTTAAATCTTTGAAAATGTTTTCCAAATTAATCAGCTGTTAATGTTGTTTAAACTTACACTCCAGAGATCCGATCTGACATTCTTTGGCTTATTTGTTGCACTTGCTGCAGGCTCAGTTTCTTCATTTTTTGATCCCTTGCTCTCTTCGATCTTTCTCTCGCTTAAGCTTTTTGTTTCCTTGTTTAAATCAGGACTTAAAGGTGGGACTCGGCTAAACATTCCGCTGAGTGCTGAATTCCGATGTAAATTATGTTTGTTTACAAATTCTACTTTCAGTTTTACAGGAAGTCAAGGTAGATTGCGTGCTTTGCAACTGTTTCTTTAATCCATATGTAAAATACTTTTTAACCTTTTCTTGAAGATATTGTACTTTAAAGCTTAATCACAAAAAAGGTCTTATTCAAAGACTGTCGAAAATTTGGTCCAATATTTTAATACGAAAAAGTAGTATTAATGATCCGGAATTTTATTTGTCATATTTTAGCATTTATAAAATTTGTCATAATCATTTAAGTGTTTTAAGAACACGTGAATCTGTTGTTAAAATGTTTTACTTTTAGGTTAGATAAAAATTACATAATGCTAATAAGTGTAAAAACCATGGTACTTTTCTTATATCTGTCAAATGAACTGAATAGAACGCATCTCCGGAGGCCTTAAAAGTAAACTGTCACCGATTCGATATAACTAGTGCAAGCTGCATGCCTGAACTGTTCAACTAAACAGCTAAAGCTACAACCAGCACTTGAATAAGCGTTGTCAACAGCTTCCAACTGAGGTCATGGAGCGTGCAACAGCTATTCGGTGCGATTTCATGACAGGCCCAGTTACCGCTTTGCAAATTATCACAGACAACTTTGTTTTGGCAGGTATACATTTCAACTTATCCATGTTATCATCGCAAAATGTTTGTCCCTTATAAAATTTGCACTCCCCATGTGCTGTTTCAATAGAAATATCTACTCTCAATATAAGATATTTTGGGTAGCACCATCCGGGGTAAGTGACTGTAAGATTCACTGTAGATTGTCCTAGTTAAAATGATGTCTCGGGACGGAATCAGGACAACTCGCCCCCAATAACACCTGTTAATACAACTCGCCCCCAATTTAGTATTAATGGACAGCTCGCCCCCACTGTAGAATTTTATATTTCATTGTGTATTGCAAGGAAAAAACGACATATATTATTCACTAAAATATATTTTAAATGCAAAATTAATTTATGATTTATAATTGATATTTATTATAAGTAAAATAAAATTAATATTTACGATTGTGTGTGTAATATGTTGTTATTTGTTTGGGTTTTTTCATATATAAAGTAAATACAATATATGTATGAAATATTTATTATTTCCTTAGACTTTTTTCTTATGAAATAAAGCAAAAAATGCATTATATTGTTTTAAATTTTTAACTGTAGAATATGTCTAGGTAAATCAAGTACAATGTTCTAAGTTGAACAATCTTAATTATTTAATGACATATTAATGATATTCTATTGACGGCTTTTAGGAAACTTATGAAAACTGAAATGAAAACATCAAACAGAATTTTAATGAAATCCCCAAGCTCACAAGTAATTTGGAACTTCAAAGTGATGATCAATTAGGACAAGCAAGCCAAGAAAATTATGTATATTTAGTTGACCAAAAATTGGCTTGTCCAAGCTCCAAAGCAGCTTTAAAGTAATGAAGAATTGTCAGAGCATGCAAGCCTCGAAAATTACGTATATACAGTTGATAAAAAAAAATGGTGTATCCAAGCTCCGAAGCAACTTAAAACCTTAAAGTGATGAAGAATTCAAGAAAGCTTGAGTTGGAAACAAATAATTTAAAATATAAAATCACATTCAAATAACTCAATAAAAAAATATATTTAATATTATATAAAAAATAAACATTTTAATTTCATAGAAAAAAATTATATTAATCGTATCTTCTCCTTTTTTAAGCGCAATGTTATAGGCATAAATGACTTGATGAATTTAATCTAAAACATATTTCTTTTTCAGGCATTTCACGTGAGGAGAGGAGTACAATTTTTTAGCGTAACTGACACCAGAAACATTTAAAATAAAAATAAATATCGAAATAATATGAAAATATATATATTAAATAAAAAATATATACATTTATATAAAAAAAATATCGCCCCCAATTTGCTTTCTTAAAGCTGGGGGCGAGTTATCTTAACCTGGGGGCGAGTTGTCTTAACAGGGGGCGAGTTAAATTGGGGGCGAGTTGTCCTGAAAAGGTGGCGAGTTGTCTTGGGGGCGACTTGTCTTGGGGGCGAGTTGTCCAGCCTTCACCTCATAAGGTGCAGATCAAAAGTCATAAGTAGCTGCAGATTTGTAGCATTTCCAGAATCGATCAATTAACTACCCTTCACTCCCTAATTCTAAGCACATTATTTAACTAATCTGTATATTTTATCCATCTCCCAACCCTTTACAGTCGTCTCTACAAGTGATAAACTCGCTAGATTAAAGTTATTTGTTAGATTGCTGAAAAATTCACTTCAAGAGAGTTTATTGCCTGTAGTGACAAATATAAATGGTTGGGAGGTGGATAAAATATACATATTGGCTACAGAATGTGTCTAGAATTAGGGAGTGAAATGTAGCTTATTGACCAATGCTAGAAAGTGGAGAAATTTTCCCCAAAAGTGCGCAAAAAATATTGCACCGTAAATTGCACCTTTTTTGCATTACGGGATCTGTAGCGTTATGGTCAAAGACAAATATATAAAACCATAACGCTACAGAACTGCAGCTAGGTTATAAGATAAAGTCATTTCAACAGCAGAACTACCTACACTTGCCTCAACCAAAATTTTACCTGCCCACAACTGATCTGTTGATTTTATTTCATTAGGAATCGGAAGCTATCTTCACACTCTTGATATTTCTCAACAGAGAAGCATATCCTGTGAGTTGGTGTTGCCATGTCGCTGTATTCATGGAATCAGAGGTAAATTGACTGCTTAGTGGTTGAGAATTCTGAATTGAGTGCATACCATTTGTTTCTGACAATTAAAAATTAGGACAAAGATGTGGTATTTGCTTTACTTATACAAATACTAGCTAATATGCATCAACATGCTCTTGAGCTTACACTTGTATATGAATTCTGCCTTTTATAGCATTCAAAGGTCAGCTAGAGTCATCAACTCTGGCAGTGTTTGGCGAAAAAAGCATTACAGTGATAGACTTTCATCTACCTGCAAAGAAAACACAGAGCAGTGCATTTGATGATGAAACTTCTAAAAATGCTTGCAGCGTGACATCAAAAGTGGATCTGACAGAATTTGAAGACTGGATTTGGGATGTATTGTTTTTAGGCAATGTGAGTTTATATTTTGGGGGAAACTACACATCAGTCTGTCTTTATTTTGGTTTTTGTTGGTCCATTTGGCTGTGTGGGATTTTTAACATAGATAACATGTAACAAATTAAAAGCTCAACATTATAGAAATAGAGACCTAATCATTTTTAAAGTTTGCTCAAGTTCAAGGTCAAATGTTCATGTTAGGTCAAGGTCATGAGCCTTTGTCAAAGGTAATGTGACCTTTTCATCATACATGCACACAGTTTACGATGTTATTTATGAATACAACTTGTTCTTTTTTAAACAGGAGAAGAATGATAATTTGGCTTTAGCTTTAGGACATAACACTGTGATTCTGTGGAACTGGAAACAGAACCAGATAGTGGAGAAGGTGACCTGTGTAGAAAACTGTATATTGTATCCTAATACATTGTGACTATATAATAATACAGTACGTCTTAAAGGTACTTGGACACAGATTTGAAGTTAATATTTTCTCATTTTTTCTGTATAATATCACGAATTATATATTTTAATAGCATTTCACACAAAAATTAATTAAAAATCTTATTTCGTTTAAAAGTCATTAAAACTTTAAATTTTTTGGCGGGTTTGATTGACACATCCTTGCACTTTCACAAAGAACTATATGCGGTATATTGCATATATGTTTGCCCCCACAAAAGTCAAATTTTGAAAACTTCCTGAAATGTGCTGAATTCAATAAATTGTACGAGAAATATAAGTTAACAGAAAATATTATAGTTCCAGAGCAGTGTATTCACAATTTCTGTTTTTATGACGTCACAAACTAGTCCGATTTTATATCCTTTTTCAGAAAGAGGACAAAATGGACAAAATTTCAACAATTTAAGCTTTAAAATTTATAGAGCGCATGTGTGTTCAGGAACAATATTGACATATTTCATTGATATTATCATTCTACACATTATATCAAAATATTTATCCTGAACACACATGCGCTCGGGGACTTTTATTTAAAATATCGACGAAATATGTACATTTTTCTGCAAAATTCATTAAAAACTGAAATTTACGTCATATTTGTGACGTCATTACGTACATATGACGTCATTACTTATGAAATTATTCAGTGCTTTGAAGTCAGCATATACTCCCCTGTTTAAGGACTTAATTAAATATTACTCCATCAAAGTTTGATGTTGGGGGGCAAATGTTGGTTAATACCGCATATAGTTCTTTTAACTTTATTCTTAATCCTTAGGAAAAGTGGCAATTTTGATGTGTTTTAATGAGAAATATTAAAACTTTTATCAAGAAAAATAATTTTATTCAGAGTAGAAATGTTAGAAAGCAAAACACCTTCACAAGTATCGTCATTCCGAACTAAGAGGTGCGTGCAGAATTTAGCAAATCGAGCACACTCGTGTTATGTACACAGTTTTTGTAAACAGGGCTCGAGTTCTGTTATTGTTTATATTTAGAATTCACCGGGTGCGTTCAATCGTCACAGTCTGCTTACCACAACTGCACGGACTGACAATATATTGTGTGTTTGTTTTGCTTTCGAACGTGTCTACTCTGAATTTTCTGGATTATAGTATTAATATTTTTCATTTATACAAAACGAGATTGCCACTTTTCCTAAGGATTAAGAATAAAATTAAATTTGTGAGAGTGCAACGATATGTCAATCAAACCCGCCGAAAAATTTGAAATTTCAATATCTTTTAAACGAAATAAGATTTTTAATTAATATTTGTGTGAAATGCTATTAAAATATATAAGTTGTAATATTATGGAGAAAATAATAACTTCAAATCTGTGTCCAAGTACCTTTAACTTATTTTTCATGGAGTTTTATTAAGTGATATAGTTATTCAATTCTATATTAAAAGTACTGTAATTATTTGAAGGAAGTCCTGAGGACTAGCGATATTAGTTCCTTGAAGCAAAGATTCTCGATTTTTTCCATATACTGTAAACGTATTATATTTGGCTGTGTATTCTTTTAAGCGGCTTTGGCAGAACCCAGCAACCGCTAAATCAAGTACATAGCTAAATGTCTTGCACATATACACATAATTAAGAAAATGAAGAAATGCGCTAAATCAAATGAACGCCAACTTATTCAAAAATCAATTTCCACCAAATATTGTACATGCTAAATATGATACATTTACAGTATGAGAAAGATTTTGATACATCAAATACAAGGAAAGTATTTTTATATAAGTTCTTTTTATCACCAGAATCTACTTGTATTTTTATTTTTTATTTATGATTTTGTACTAATTGTATAAAACAATATTTACACATAATTCCTTATCTTGGGTATCAAGATATTGTGCTAAGTTTATCAATTCTAATTGGGATCAAGTTCTTTTGGCTGCTGGAACTGTTTTCAATGAAATATTGTTGTGGGCCCCAAAAGGTCAGAAGTCAGAGTCTGGTCAAGTGACAGTCTTAAAAAGTCTAAAAGGACACAAGGTTTGTTATTATGTATGAAATTTAAATTTAATTTCAGTTTTGTTTTAATTTGCTATAAAAGTAATACAGAGTAGTATCATTTCAAGGATGGCATCCCCAAAAGTCTTGATATTCCTGTAGATTGAAATAAAGAAATTTTAATGAAAATCAAGTTTTTATATTGTTTAGGCCATGCAAAGTTAATTCCTTGGTTCTCAGGTCTTTTTTTCAAAAAATATCATGAGGGAGGGAGGCTTCTTTTTTTTTTATTGCCCCCAAAACATGATGAGGCAGCTTTTTACATCAATTGTACAAAACCTCAAAAAATGTTGAGGGAGGTGATTTGTTGTTTTTATTTTATTGATTTAGCAATAAAAAGGGTCAATGAGGCACCCTTGGAAGAGATGAGGGAGGGCCTGAGAACCAAGAAATTAATTTTTTATGGCCTTAATATGTGTATAATTTTTAGCTCACCTGAGCCGAAGGCTCAAGTGAGCTTTTCTGATCACATTTTGTCCGTCGTCCGTCCGTCTGTCTGTCCGTCCGTCCGTCCGTCTGTCCGTCTGTCTGTCCGTCTGTAAACTTTTCACATTTTCGACTTCTTCTCAAGAACCACTGGGCCAATTTTAACCAAACTTGGTACAAAGCATCCTTGGGTTAAGGGAAATTTAAATTGTTAAAATGAAGGGACATATCCCCTCGCAAGGGGAGATAATCAAGAAAAGACAAAAATAGGGTGGGGTCATTAAAAAATCTTCTTCTCAAGAACCACTGGGCCAGTAAAGCTGAAACTTATGTGGAAGCATCCTGGGGTATTGTAGATTCTAAATTGTTCAAATCATGACCCCCGGGGGAAGGGCGGGGCCACAATGGGGAATCAAAGTTTTACATAGAAATATATAGGAAAATTCTTTGAAAAGCTTCTTCTCAAGAACCACTGGGCCAGAAAAGCTGAAACTTATATGGAAGCATCCTGGTATAGTGTAAATTCTAAATTGTTCTAATCATGACCCCCGGGGGAAGGGCGGGGCCACAATGGGGAATCAAAGTTTTATATAGAAATATATAGGAAAAATCTTTGAAAACCTTCTTCTCAAGAACCACTGGGCCAGATAAGCTGAAACTTATGTGGAAGCATCCTGGTATAGTGTAGATTTTAGATTTTAAATTGTTAAAATCTTGACCCCCGGGGGAAGGGCGGGGCCACAATGGGGTATCAAAGTTTTACATAGAAATATATAGGAAAAATCTTTGAAAACCTTCTTCTCAAGAACCACTGGGCCAGAAAAGCTGAAACTTATGTGGAAGCATCCTGGTATAGTGTAGATTTTAAATTGTTAAAATCATGACCCCCGGGGGAAGGGCGGGGCCACAATGGGGTATCAAAGTTTTACATAGAAATATATAGGAAAAATCTTTGAAAATCTTCTTCTCAAGAACCACTGGGCCAGAAAAGCTGAAACTTATGTGGAAGCATCCTGGTATAATGTAGATTCTAAATTGTTCAAATAATGACACCCGGGGGAAGGGCGGGGCCACAATGGGGAATCAAAGTTTTATATAGAAATATATAGGAAAAATCTTTAAAAATCTTCTTCTCAAGAACCACTGGGCCAGAAAAAGTGAAAATTATGTGGAAGCATTCTGGGGTAGTGTAAATTCTAAATTGTAGGAATCATGACCCCCGGGGGAAGGGCGGGGCCATTATAGGGAATCAAAGTTTTACAATGAAATATATAGGAAAAATCTTTGAAAATCTTCTTCTTAGGAACCACTGGGCCAAAAATGCTGAAACATATGTGCCCATGGAAGGATCATGGGGTAGTGTAGATTTCAAAATGTCTAAATTATGATCAGTGGGGTAGGGTGGGAATGCATTATGTATAACAAGGGTGAAATCTGGTAAAGAACAGAATGGTCAAAGCTTCTCAGGTGAGCGATGTGGCCCATGGGCCTCTTGTTTTTCAGGGAGTAATTTTTTCTGTGGAGTATTTCCACCAGAAACAGATGATGTGTTCAGCCTCAGATGATCGCAGCATCCGACTTTGGCTGTTCAGATTTGAGAACTCTTCTGCTCCCAGTGAGCTTGAGACTCCTCTGGAATTATGGGAAAACAGCAGCTGTTCCTGTGTTGGGGTGTTTTATGGTCACTCAGCCAGAGTGTGGGATGTCAGATTACTGTCCACAACTCTGGTCAGTGTTGGAGAGGTAGGCACAAACATTTTTTTCTTTTTATCACATTCATTAAATTAAGGGATGATGTTGATCACTGATGTCATTTTCTTCCCTAATTTTGTTCTTTTTTATTGAATATACAAAACATAAATCATACTTAAAAATGTTACAGTGTATAAGGTTATAAAATTTTTTGCCTTTTTAAGACAAGAAGCTTAAAATTGAATACATCTATAAAGATAATTAACTGGAAATCATATATAACTGAAATGGCATTTTTTCAATACTACTGCAGTGTAATTCATTTTAGGACTCAACATGCTGTGTATGGAATTACAATGGAGATATTCTTCAGAAGTTTAAAGGTCATAAGGTAAATTTTCTAATTACATGTACAGTGTATATCTAATGATTTACATATGTATCTTAGAATGGCTTTTTCAATACAAGTACCTTGAGTTTTATCAATTATAGGAGTGTTTTTCTGAAAGTATTTAGATTTATTGCAGGGTAAAAGTATTTGGAGTTTAACAGTTGATGACAAAGAAAGATTTGTGGTATGCCTTTATCTATGAATTCAATTGTTCAAATCTCTATTACTCTCAGATCAAGAATTTCATAATCTATTTAATTTATATATATATGTTTCAGAAGAAATAATAAAGGATGGATTTCATTATAAATAAAAACATTTAAAAATGACATAAACATTTAATATAACAAAAAAGTCTATTCCTGAGATTTATAGAGTTTCCATTGGTCTCTCTTCTCTACAGGTGACAGGAGGGGGTGATGCCAGTGTTCGTCTCTGGTATTTGTCATCAAGGTCAGAAAGGTCAAATTACAGAACGCATGCTCTCCAACTGCCACATACGCCACCTGGAAAGGTATTTCTCCAAGGGGAATAACTGTAGAAATCTCCATGACTTAAAACAATATTAATCTTTAAATTTGGGTGTCATTTAATTTTTCAATGATGTGTACAAAAGAAAACATGGACAAGAACAACAAACAGATGAAGATGTTTTCATACCTTTGTCAAGAAGATGACAAACAATGCAGCACTCCCTACTGTTCAATCTACATGTACATGTATACCTATATAAAATTTTTTTTGTAAAGTCAATGTTTTCAGATATATATATGATTTTGTATTTTAATTTGATTGAGAACTTTTCTTTATGATCTTAGGTAGATGACTACCCACGCTCAGTAGCTCTGCTAAATCATGATGAGATTATCATCATAACCAATGAAGGGTAAGATGTGCTGCACTTTATCACCTGTTGTGTAAATACATATTTGATGTATAGTAAGCAGAAATAAAAGAATGGATAAGATTGCTGCCAAAAAATTCATGAAGCACTTTTTTTGTTGAAGTATACATTTATCAAGTGATGCTTATAGCATATTACATAAATTAGCACACTAAAAAATTAAGCACATATATCCTCATCATCTGTTAAGTGCAATTATTAAAAAGCACACAAGTTTTAACAATGAAATATATCATTTTTAATCATTTATTTTGCATGTATGTAAATCAGCTGACAAGAAGCAATGCAAAAGTTGCTAACAAAAATATTGGTTTTCCACAAAAATATTTATGTTTAATCTAGCTAGCACATATTTTAAAAATCTCCTTCTGTATTTTCTTTACATTTCCTTCCCCCCCCCTTTTTTTTTCAAATTTCTAGGTATTTGTACTTGTATGAGGTTGAGGAAAAAAGATGGCTGACTCTACAGGCTGATTCAGAATTCAGGTCTTATACAGTGATGTCTGTAGCTCATACAAAACAGAGATGTTTTACATTGGGAAATATCCATGGAACACTCAGGATTTTTACCTGTAGAGGTGTTTGTGCTAAATTCATTCTTAAATAAGATTTAGTTACTTTTATTTATAATGGTCTTTAAAAGCGTAATTAATCAATTTTTTTTTAACTTAAAGCTTTCTTAAAAGTCTACTTGCACTTATAGATGCAACATGTAAGTCAAATTGGGTGAACAAGGACTGGAGGATATGTAATGGTAAAATAATGAGTGTCCATTGGTTGTCTGGTACCCAGCTTCTCACCACTGGTCTAGATGGAGAAATAGTAAATACAGAGTTTTTACAATTAATCAATTTATTTTGAATTTGAATTCAAAACCACCTGAAAAAGTCTGGCAAAATCTTTAAGTTACATAGTAGATATGAAATTCAAGTTTCATAAGGTAGAAGGTTACTTTGTTGTACATTTACACTAGAAACACCCATGTTCTTGAATATTTTAGAAATTGTGGAACTTTGAAGTTGTGTCCATGCATTTAGAGTGTTGTGGAATGTACACTCTTCCTGTGTGTAAACATAGATGGGTGTCAGCTGCTGTAGTTAGTCACGGATCACTGATCTGTGGGGACAGAGGGGGCACCATCCATTTGTATCATCTGGGAAGTGACTGTGTAAGTTTTAGTAATTATCAGCCAGGACTTTCAGTCATTCTTGTCATTTTATGTGTCCATTACATCACATTACTGAAGAATTCAATAATATTACAATTCATTATCATTCCATATTACCATTGCTCTAGGTCTGACCTGGAGATAAAAGTTATATACATGAAAATGTCTTTTTTTATTTGTCCTATCCATATGTCAAAAATTAGATCACAAGGATGCATATGAAGTTGAAGGGGAGAATTACTCCATCTTTTTTCTCTATATTTGTTTAAATCAATTAATTGTTCTTTTTTACAGAAGAATCCATCTCAGAGTTTCCCCAAAATTCATGGAAAAACAGGTGTGACTAGCATTTGTTTCTATGGAGACAATATTTACACAACAGGAAGAGATGGTTGCTATAGAGTGTTCAGCCATGATGCTGGTCACATGACCTTGTTAAACAGCTACCGTGTGTACAAGGGCTTTGAGTGGATTGACAGACTTCAGATAGCTGAAGAAGGAGCAGATTTTTTTGTCTTTGGATTTCAGTCAGTAAGTGGTTGGAATTCATGTAATATTTTGAACTTTTACTTGTTCAAGTATTCTGAAATTCTTATATTAAGCTACAGTTGAGTGCAAGTATAAATATGGAAGTTTCTGTTCCCCTGCCTATACCTGACTCATAATGTGTCTAGATTACTGAAACATGAATAAGTTATCTTTTAAAATTTAATATATTAATGCAGATATTTGGATAAAAATTTAAATTTATTGATAAAAATGTAAATTTATGGATAAAATGTAAATTTATAGAGATAAATGTATAAATTTAACTGAGATATAATAGTTAATTTATAGATATAAATTGGCTCACATACTTCTTGTTTTGTACATGTACTTCCTCCTATAGAGTGACTTTGTTTTATGGAGTGTAAACAGCAATCAGAAGCTCATACAGATTCCTTGTGGTGGAGGTCATAGGTCATGGGACAGCAACACCAAGGGAGACAACTTCAGATTTGTTTATCAGAAAACAAGGGAGGTGATTGTATGTGACACCAAACTCCAACAGAATCAAGTGAAGCTCAAGGTTCTCACAAATATACAATTCTTCATTTATTATTGAGTGTGTATAATCCTGCAAATTATATTCATTACATTTAATTGCTGGTGAATATGAAATGAATAGAATTCTAAGATAAGAACATGAAAAAATTTGTCCAAAATTTATTTCATTGAACATTTTGATTGTTTAAGTTTATGTAAATTTGTTGTTGGTTTTTATTTCTGAAAATAATTAGGTTATTGATTATTTAAAGTGCATACTGCATGAGGGGTAAGGATATGATTCTGTTATTTTTTTTTTTTTTTTTTTTTTTGCAGAGTGCTCTACACGGAAGGGAGATAACTTGTGTTAGATTTCTTGATGCGAGAGAGGGTAAGTGAAAATGGCCCTTTATTGTAAAGTTGTTTATTTAGTAATGTTGTTTACCCCCAGCATAGTCAGAAGATATGTTACAAAACTTATGAAGCTAATCTATGTTGTATTTAAGATTGTAACTTTGCAGAAATGTGATATTTAAATTGCTATGTGATGCAAGTATTTTTATTAACAGATGGATGCATTATTTTAACTGGAAGTGAGGACACAAGTGTACAGATATCAAGTATAAAATGTATCCTTTAAAAACTATTAAAAAGATTTAAAATTTTATTTGTTCATAGAAGTGCAATTTTAAGTCTTAAGAGTTATGAAGTGAACTGAAAAATTGTGAACATGCAAAGGTAATGACTAAAATATTATTGTTTCTTGTTTAAACATTGTTGAAAATGTATGAGCCTTAATTTCTTGCAAGATAATGATTATGCAGTGAAAGAAATGTCTTGCATAGAGTACCTGAATGGACATATATCTAGTGTGAGGGCCCTCTGTTTATGCCCCTCCTACAAACAGTCACATGACCAGAAGTCCATGTTAATGTTTTCTGCTGGTGGCAGAGCTCAGATGTTGGTATGGAGATTGACAGTAGAAAACTCCACCTCCCTAGTAACTGAGAATCTGTGCAGCTTCATGATTGGTCAGATCAAAAGAAAAGGAAGAACCAGGATGTGGAAACTACAGCAGATAAAACTGAATCCAGAGACGAGGTTTATGGACCTTAGTAGTGTTCAGCTCACAAGAGTGTGGACAGAATTTCCAGATCATTTACATGTCCTGGCTTCTGCCTGCTCAGATGCTTATGTTAGGTAAACTCCAAATTTTGAGTGATTCAATGATGGTACTGATGAATATTTTTATGTGGGTATCTTTTAGCATTCCTTAGTTATAAAATAAAATGTAAAATGTACAGATAATTTATTAATTTCTTGAACAAGCACATGTGTGCCTGTGTGATGTAATTACCTGAAAACCAGATACATTGTATTTGTACTCAGCCTTTAAAAAAAATTTCTCTCTGAATTTCTCTGTACTGGAATCTACTGTAGATATTTTTAAAGGAGATAATTGTATTTTTACTCAATGCCTTTAAAAAAATTCATTCTTGTGTATAAAAGTATTCCTTAAGATTATATAGACCTAAATCTATTTTGTGTAAATAGTAAAACTTAGAAAAAATTTAGTGATCATGTATATTGTGAATGTACCATATGTATTTTTACATGTATTTTTTTTTCTGTAAGATTTTTTTTCTTGATCTTGCATTTTACCATATTACAAACAATGACATTACAGAATTAGTGGCTGTGGAAAATCTTGATGGAACGTCAAAGAGAAGGGACGAGAGAGAGAGAGAGAGAATTCAAAAACTGTTGTATTCTTTCAAATGTTCTGTTCTTATTTTCAGGTTATACATTTTTGATGAAGAAAAGAGAGACCTTACTCTTCTAATGGAATCTGTCTTTCATGAACACTGCGTATTAAAAGTGTCCACACTCACAAGAAAGAACAAAACAGACTCGGAACTGTACATACTGTCTGCTGCAACTGATGGTCAGATAGCATTCTGGAAAATAAACAAAGAAAATATCTCCCTTATTGTTAAAAATAGAGTGGAATCACGTCCTGAAAAAGTAAAAATGGAGAGGACTTTCTCTTCCATAGAGAGTGATATAGGAAACAATATCAGTAATAGTCTCAGGGAGCAGTGTGATATGAAAAACTCTTTGATATCTGCCTCAAATACATGTGATACTGATGATAAACAGGAAGCAAGAAGTGATTTACAGTACTCTCAGTACAGTGATGATAGTTCAGGAGTATGTTATGAAGCTGATGGCATACACGAAGATTTTGACGGATCTCTGGAGACAGACTCGGTTGATAAAGAGGCCATGGAAATAATGAGACCTGGATTTGTCCTGAGTCACCATCAGTCAGGTGTCAATGGAATGGATTGGCTCCATTATAAAGGTAACTTAAAAAGGGAAGTGATATCATATAACCATACCACCAACCAGAACTCTTTTGAAGTAAAAAAAAAAAAAAAGACCATTTGATGTTGCCTGCAAAAAAGTGTATTAATCATTGCAAGATCGAATACTACTGTAAAGTGTGTAATTAGTGTGGTAAAATTTTTGTGATGTGAGGAAAAACAGAAATTTCATGGGTAATTTATTTTGTCGAATTGTTTGTTAGTTTTCAATACATGTAATAAAGGAGTTATATTGGTACTTGTGGGCTGTACAAATGCAATCACAAGCTTGTGCATTTGTACAGCCAACTTGTGCCAATATTCACCAACATAAGTTTAATAACCCTATTTATAGTATTATTATAATACTTTTCTTTTTATATACAGATGATGACTTCCTGATAGCCAGTGGTGGGGATGACAATGCTATATGTATTTCATTGGTTCAGTTTGATGATGATGTCATCAGGGTCAAGGCTAAAGGGTCCTGTTTATGTGCTCATGCAACAGAAATAACAGGTACTTGTATGTGAAGAAGTATTTAAATAAAACATTTAACCCACAGTTGTAAGCTGAACATACTCACCGTTAAATTTTCTGAAAATAAACATTTTCAAGATGAGTTAACAATTATTTATTTATCTCTAGATTGTTCTAGCTCAAGGTTGCTGTAAATTGATTGAATTTTCATTCAATTTCTTCATTAAGATATGATTTTCAATATGCAAACTTTTAGGTGTGAAGTTTCTATCTCCCAGTAAGCTGTTATCAGTGTCCATTGATCAGAGGCTTATACTGTGGGATCTCAGGGTTAATAGTGATCATATACAGGTACATACATGACATTGACTCTTAAATTTTATTCCTCAGCTTTCACTAAAAGCAACTAAGGGTTATTTGTCTTTCTGTGTTTCTAGCTGTTCTTCTGCCAGTTTTATTCTGTATGTAACGTTTTGTTCATTGATGATTTTCAAGAAGTGCTATAAAAGCTTTTGCATTAAATTTTTTTTATTATAATTCTCCATGAATTGAAGAGGTTGTGCATTCTGTGATATAATTTAGGTGTACATTATTCTATTTTTCATGGACGAATTTAATTTTAACTCCAGGTACAGCAGCTTAGTTGTAAGTTTGTGTGTGTGACTGACATATCAAACATGGACATCTTGAAAGTTGACAAGTAAGTAAAAAAAAATTAAACTAACTTCAGAAATTTTCTGAACACAGTGAAAGATTTCATTTTTCTACAGTTATCTACCTATTTCTCTACATACTTATCTCTCATCTTCTTCCTATTTATCTGGTTTGCATAGAATCAGTGATGGATTCCAGATGAGCACTGTGGTCTATGAGCCTTTCATTTAACTTTTTAAAATGAACAAATAGCTCTGTTTTTACAGGGATAGATTTACTGTTGTGGTATCTGGTGAAGGATTAGCAACCTTTGAAGTACATGTGCAGACTCAGTGTGAATAGCATGTGTTGTGCCTGTGGCTACAAAATGAGACAGTTATACTGTAACACACAATTACACATGCAGAAAATTATGTTTACATTAGTTTCTCTTAAGCATATGCATGTAGCTGAAAAGATTTAAGTATATTAAATAAATTTTTATTCTTGATAAAAATGTTTTTCATATTCTTTACCACATTTAATAGGTCTGATTTGAAAGCTGCATTTTGACTTTAAATAGGAACTTTAAATAGTGAGTTAGTCAATAACTTCAAAATAACTCTCTGCTCCTAAGTAGAAAGTGTTCCTTCCCAAGTGCTCAGAACTTTGAAATGAAGGTTGTTTGGTCTTTTGAATAAAACTTGAAAGGCAAGTCCCCATGACAACCGGAGTTGGTATTATGAAGATCTCTCACTGTGCTCAATGGCCAGTCTTGCTTGCAGGCTTTCCCGAAGCCGATTGCGTACTTTTTGTGCAATGAAATAAGGTGCAGCAATTGTGACCCTCTCTTTCAAACGATGTCAAGCAGAATGTTTAACTTGTAGTCTTTTGGTGTAGCATCTGTACTCATTTCATCACACTTCCAGTTGTACTTTTTTAAGTATAATCTTGCAATACCTTTCTTTTTTTAACGTCCCTACTTACTGTTAGATGGCCCCAAAATTAGACCTGTACTTGGCACTCAGGTCATTTAGCAGCAAGGGAATCATTTTTTTAGGATGTCATTTAAAATGTCAAGTTTATTCACAGAAGACATTTTCTACATTCCTCCATCCCGACATAGTTCTTTTAAACCAATAAAACACTTATCGAATTCATATGTCGTGAATTATTAAGCAATCATTGCAAATCAACATTAAACTTTCATAAACTCTATTGGAGCTTCATGCTCTTATGGCTCTGGATTTCCTCAACAAAAAGCATGAAAATTGAACCAAACCTGAATAATTTACTTTTCTTGACACTAAAACGGATTTTTAAATTGACAATTCAAAAATTAAGTTTAAAGAATCAAACAAAGCATGTAAACACGGTTGTTGTTTTGTAATACTTTATACATAACACAATTTACACTATTGATACTGTAAAGTTTTAATTAATAATAAAAGTAATACACATACAGAAAAATATATTTTCTACAGTTTTCTGTGATACAAAGGCACCAATAGCTAAATACCACCAATAGCAAAATATGCAGTTGTATAACTTTTTAAGTTGAAGATGTGCGCTTTTCATTGTTTCCATCCTTTTTTATCAGATTCTCAATGCTTACGTACTTTGAGCAGCTATGAAGGACGCGATTTTAATTCACAGCCCGCTTTTAAAATCCCCCTCCCCCCACAACTATACTTTCAATGTATTTACTTTTAGTACATGAATGGTGTTCTTATTCAATACAGTTTACATATACATACATTGTTTCTTTGATAGTTACAAGTGTATTCTTGTCGTCATTTCAACCAGATGGAGGAGGTAACTGACCACATTAATAAGCTAAACACTGCTACAAAACAGATATAACAAAGAGCTCTATCCACCAGTCTCCCCACCTCTCTCCAATCCTGTATTATCTTAGCAGTAGCCTCCTCAGAGGCCATCTTGTCAGAGATATTCCGAATGGACTCCGATAAGTCCCTCATAATATCGTTGTTGGACACTGAGTGCATTTCGGGGGTGTCGTGTGGAGGTTCATGTATTCCCGGGTCTTCTAAAAGACCGACATTAGAATATCTGAAGGACTTTCCATATTGTCCAAGACAAAGTATTTTCCTCAAGCAAGTATCATTCAAGGCAAGCTTCAAATAAAATGTTGTAGTTTTTGTACATTACATAAATGTAAGAAAAATAAATATAAAACATCAGTTAAGGAATGAGTATTTTCTTAAGCTTAGAACAAAGACTCCCCGACTTTTTCTCGCCAAACTTACCCTTTGTAACCACGCTGGTACTCGCTTCCGTCTTCCACGATCATCACACAGCGAGACGATGAAAATGGAAAAAAGGAGACTCACTGATGTTAGAATCAAAATTATCAAGTGGAAAATGGCTGAAATAAATAAAATTTGATTATTATTTAGCATTGTTAGTCAATTTCTAAAGTGCAAAAAGGTATGATCTGATACTTCACTCAGGCATATTTCATGATGCATGTTAACGCTTTATGAAATATAGCCCGTCAGTGAGTAAAAAGAATATCAGGTCATATCCTCATCCAGTTTGAAACTCGAATTTGATTTACACTCTAATTATTTATTCAATGAACATATAGTAGTTGACAAACTGTTTTGGATTTATATTTCATATACTGTTGGGATTTCTAATCCAAATTTGAATCATCAATTAACGTCAGTTTTGAATATTCCAATTTCCCAACAACCAAAATGAATTTGTATCACCATATCTATATAGGATTCTGAGACTTCATAAAAATCCTCATAAACAAAGATACTTAGTGGATTCCATTAGGAATGGGTTGAATATTAAATCTTTGCATACCAAATTAATTAAATAAAAATATAAATGTTTTCCATACTAATGTAATTCTATTAACAGATTAAGGGGAACCTTCAAGAGTAATGTGCAACAATATTTTCAAAGAAGGGGGAAATTAAGATGTGGATACGTAAAATCTAAGAAACTTTTGGAAAATTTAAAATCAAAAACTTTACCCGATTCAACAACATAAAAAATCGCGCCTTTTCAACTTTATATACAACTATTCCACACGATATACAGGTCGAGACCACTAGATTTTCTGACGTCAGCATAAATTTGCATGTAAATTAGCTATCTGTGTACTTTACCTACTGCTGAATGAGTCGCAATGCATTGTGGGCTACTACAAGTACCCAGCTGTGTTGAAAATAAAGGGCGAATTGAATTGTCCATTGGAAACTTATTTTCAATTCTTTTTTGAGATTTGTGAAAGAAATATTTAAAATGACGTATAATCTTTCATTTCTATGCTCACATTTACAAAATTTGCTTTATGAAGCCTTATATCAACTTATAATACATCGGCCTAACCCATTGTTTAAAGAGAAGTAGGTGCTATCGTGTCGATAAACCTTTGAGTTTTTTTCACGTGATATACGTGTACATAGTTTTAGCAGGTAGTATATAGGTCCTTGGTTTTAGACAGCAGGAGAAGGTGTGCAATCATTGTTTAACCCCTCAATATTATCAAAAAGTTTTTTTATGTACATGCAAACGTCAAAGCGTTTGTACGGTATTCGAAGCAACTATTAATCATCTAAAACAACTCTATTATTAAATGTGAACATGGAGAGTGATCAAGAAGCTCTACAGTTTTTCTGGTGACGAGTTAAATATTGTGCAGTAAACCGACGAAAACCACGTGTCGCCATTGAATCGTAAACAAGTAGTATATACTGTTATGCTTTGGGACTCATTCACTTGATTGGAGAATAGGTGTGACGAAGACATCGTCACGTGTTAAAAATTGCCTTCCATATAAGGTAGTGGTCTCGACCTGATATAAAGTCTAGGCTTTTTGATATCAGCATTGACAGCTGCTTTTTCAATAAACATGGAACTCGTAAATTTACTTACCTTGTCATTGGCCATTGGCAAAATTATTTTGTTGAAAACATTCTGATTGTACACACAAGTACTCTTGAGTTTATATTAAAAAGATAATTGAGTTTCTGATTGACAATTATATCTTTGTGGATTTTGGATTCCAGAGGTCTTCCAGCAATTATTGGAATTTCCATAGGTACCGATTGCACCTTCTTATAAGCAAACCTATTCTTGTATTCAAATCTTACATGTGAAAAGAAGAAAACACTTGCGGTGACCATCAACTGGACATTTACATTTAGATGCATGTATATCGACGAAGTAATGTCAATCAACAATGCATGTTTATTTCAATTCTCATGTAGATACTATATACTGAGTATCCCGATGTTTCAGGATTCATATGCAGTCTTTGAATGAAACACATAAGGAGATAACGAACAGCATTCAAGATCAAAACTCCATACAACAATACAAATTAGGAGCAGAGCAAACACGGACCTCCAAAACATCAGAAGTGGAATCAGGTGCCATGGAGGAGTGAGCCCTGCCGACCGTGTTCTCCTTGTCATGATCGGGAAATAATGAAAAAAATCCGTCGTCAATTCAGTGTGTAAATAATGGCCTAACAAATTAGTAAGAAAAACGTCAGTCAGCATTTGACTCAATGACAAAATGTATTAATTTGCTGACAAGGTCATTGTATCGACCATAGAACTTGCGCAATGATGTCTTTAAAAGAGACTGCTGGTATTCTTGTTTCATCAACTTGTTTGTCAATAATTTACGTCGTTTTAGAAATTGTTCATACGGAGAGCATGTTCTTGCGTATCGAATCAACTGAGATATATAAATTCCATATGCATGCAATGAAGGTATTTTGCAGCATAAGAAATGGAAGTTGACGATTGTAATGACAAAGTTTGGTGCAATTAGAAAAAAAATGTTTTTGTGCATTTCTTAATTGCATACATGCATGTACGTTGATTTTGAAAATTCGATATGTAGTGCAGTGGTGTGACATAAAGGGTTGTATTAAACCATGACTTTACATCAAATGGCGTTCATAAATTCTAAAATATAAAATAACACCGGGGGTTTTTTGTTCGACTATAATTCATGCAAAAGAGAAGTGCAGGCAAGCGGACAACTTTTATTATTAAAGCAACTTCTCAAAAAGAAACATCATTAAAATTGCAGTGAAAGAGAAAGTTACCCCACCACTGACTGCAGTAGTTGGTTCAAAGGTTTAGAAGGGTGCAAATGGAAACAAATGTACTGTTGCTCAACTTCATTGCAGTTCGAAATAATTATAGTTAAAGTACATGTAAATGTGTGTATTAATAAAGCAAGGCATGCATAGATGATAGCCTGTTTGTGTACTCTTGATCAGATAAAATAACGACGAGACAAGCAACTGCAATAAAACATCAATTATGCTATACATAATATCTTACCAAGATTTGGAACTGTAGTGTGATCGAAAATGTTCGTCTCAACGAAGACTATAACGATTAAGGACTCAAAAATCATAAGTCCAAGACCTGCAAGAAAAATGAACTTTAAGCAGAAGAATGTTGTCAAGAGACAGTGGTATTTTGCCTCTAAAATTATTGTCCTCTGTACCTAGTGAACCATCAAAAAGCAGCAAAAGGTATAATTTACATAATAAACTCGTTTTAAATTGAACCCATGGGTTCTTGAAGTGTTTAAGTACTTTATTTTAAAAAAAATCATTATCGTCTACAATCTAAGAAGTAAAAAAAACATAATTCCGTTTAACTAGGAACTTTAGAAAGACATATTTTATTACATTAAAAAATTCTTCGATAAGCCTACTAAAAAGTTAAGAAAAATTCCAAAAAACCCTTTTTGTATCTACAGAGCTCTAGCTATCGTAAAGTTGACCACCAATCATATAGATGTTTTAATTTTTGTGTAACAAGTCAGAGTTCTGGAAACTAAGTTTTTCCGAAGAAATGTCATTTTCAAACTCTTAATTGGCCCCTAAGTGAAATGAAAATTTCTAAACCTTAATGCAAGTGTACAAGACAAATACATATTGCAAAGGGTAAACCGGATACTGCTTGTTTATAATAAGTATGAGATGTTTGAAGAAAAAGACTATGCGACTATGCATATGGAGTAATGGATCTATTAATTAAATGTTACAATGTAACCTTGAAATCTCTAGAACTGAGAAACTTCTGAGGGGCTCCCTTGAACCTCACCCGCCTTAAGGCGACCCCCCAGTTCACTGCCTCTTATATTACATTTCACACTAGACATCCTCAACAGAAGCCCATGCATTTGTAAACAAACAAAAAACAAAAACAAAAATGTTTCACTTCTTACCAAATGTAATTTTCTGAGCTGAATGTGAAGGTATAGCAAAGAGAAAAGGAACAAGGAAACAAGCGATGATAGATGGCCAGGTGACGACGTAACGATAAAAGCTGGTCTTCCTCATCGTCTTTATCGTCACAACAAACCTCTGATACTCCTCTGGACAACAAGAATACTTCTTACTGTTGATGACGGCCGTGGCTTTTAAAATTTTCCACTGAAAATCGAGATGGCTTTCTAAACTGACTTCCATCTTTGTTGTATTGTAGTAATGACCAAACATTCCCAATCTTAGTTCAAGCGCATTGTGGGTCCACGGAACAAACGTTATAGAGCATGTCTGGGTATCAAATGGGAACAATGTAAGGTCCATTGAGCAGTAAGTGGACACGGTTTTGTGAGGCACATAGATGGCTGTACCGTCATAGCTGACGTATACAGAAGCTTCAGACGACCAAGATGGCCCAGGCGCCCTGAAAATTTTGTAAGAAGCAATTTGTAGTGCTGATATTTCATGACAATGACAAGTCAACACGTTAAAAGCCAGCAGATATACAGTATTTTTGATATCGACGTATCTACTAACTGGTTATGCTGTGTGTATGCAAAAGTACCCGTCGGACTTATTTGTCAGACCACTTACAAGTTCTCGATTTCTATATCTGGATGCCAAACTGAGTTGTATGGAAACCGTATAGATTTAATGTCCCCGTATTCTGTAGTGTTCCAAGTCAAACGAGGATCTTTCCAAATCTAGAAATAAAACTTTTAATAGATCAGTTTTTGTTTAAAGAGAGGACATAATTTATATATGTACATCATGCAGTTTAGTTAAATTGGCATATTTAATATATGCTATGCTTACCTGTTCGAATAAAAATGTAGTGGTAATCGTTTCCTTTGCAGCATCCTAAGAGTTGTAAAAAATACAAGAAGAAATAATATTTCACCAATGTATTATTGCATACTGAGTGCCAAAGCCTAAATGTGTTTAAAATTTAAAGAAATTGTATTTTTTATTTTTCTTTTAATATGTAATTTTTATGACTCCCTCTTATAGATCTTTGGTATACCAAAATATAACGACATCAAAGATTTTATATCAAGATTGATTTTTTGAAACAACAGACCAACAACGTGCAAGCAGTGAAATCTATGATAAGAGCAAGCATTAGCCTTAGAAATGTGGTTCAACTCCAGAAGCTGCAGTTACTTTCACAGGCACCTGAAGTATGGATAATACCCCCCCCCCCCTTTTTTTAATGAAAAAAAAATGTAAGAGTGTATAATATCTCAAAAATATAAAATTTCCCCGTCAAACACATCTATATGTCGTTATATGCAAGCAGATTGTACTTTTTCTCACGTTTAAAGAATGACCCTATTCGGTATAGGTAAGAAACAAAAGTTGTATGTAAACAAACGGGGGTTCCCCCTTCGAGACAGATTTCCAAGGTAATAATAGTGTTACCTATCATAATTTTGCAAGCACTCTGTCAGGGAGATGTTTTCCTACTGAAGTATTTAACCTAAACCCCCGCTTTATCTGATTGGTTAGATATTCAAACTATATCACAATTACCCAATCAAATAAAGCGAAACAGAAGTGCGACTCCAAAACCTCCTCCAACGCTGCCAATGGAGAAAATTTTATGTATCCGATTAATAAATCGTCCGATTACGGCATATTAAACATTAATGGCGGGGTTTAGGTTAAATACTTCAGTAGGAGAACATCTCCCTGACAGAGTGCTTGCAAAATTATGATAGGTAACACTATTATTACCTTGGAAATCTGTCTCGAAGGGGGGAACCCCCGTTTGTTTACAACTTTTGTTTCTTACCTTGTGTATTTTTACCGAATAGGATCATTCTTTAAACGTGAGAAAAAGTACAATCTGCTCGCATATAACGACATATAGGTGTGTTTGACGGGGAAATTTTATATTTTTGAGATATTATACACACTTAAATTTTTTTTTTCATTAAAAAAAGGGGCGGGGGTATTATCCATACTTCAGGTGCCTGTGGTTACTTTGTCACACAAGTACTCTGAAGATGACATCAAAAAGATGCATGAGTTTCTAATAGACAATATCTGTGTCGTTTTTTGAGACCAGATCTTCCAACAATCTATTGCAATTCACATGGGTACCAATTGTGCCCGCTTATTAGCAGACCTATCTTTGTACTCATATGAAGCAAAATTTGTGCAAAAACTTATGCGTGAAAAGAAGAAAACACTTCCTGTGTCTTTCAACTCGACATTTAGATATTTTCACGCCGTATTGTCAAATGTCGATACGATATATCCTGGTTAGTTAGAGATAAAAGACGCCACAGAGTCTGACACATCTATAAATATTTGGATATTTTGCTTGAATGACATTAATGCTCATCTAACAACCACGTTCTATGATAAACATGATGACTTTGACTTTTCTATCGTCAACTTCCCTTACTTATACAGCAATATACCCTCATCGACAGCATACGGGGTTTATATATCTCAATTGATTCGATACGCAAGAGCATGCTATACATTTGGACAATTTCTTAAACGAGGTAAATTATTGACAAACAAGTTGATGAAACAAAAATATCAGCAGTCTCATTTAAAGTCATCACTTCGTAAGTTCTATGGTCGATACCATGGCCTTGTCAACAAATACAATTTATCATTGAGTCAAATGCTGACTGACGTTTTTCATACTAATTGTTCGTCCATTATTTAAACACTGAATTGACAACGGATTTTTCCGTTATTTCCCTATCATGACATGGAGCACACGGCGGGTGTGACCGGTCAGCAGGGATTCTCACTCCTCCATGGCACCTCATCCAACCTTCGATGTTTTGGAGGTCCGTGTTTGCTCTGCTCCTATTTTGTATTATTTAATGGACTTTTGATCTTGAAACTTTTGCTAATGATACATTTTTTAGAAACGTGGAATTAAAACGACTCTCAGTTAGGTTTCTAAACAAATATTGGAATGACTTCATACAGTACAATCTGTATACTTACTAATTCATCAACTCTGATTAAGTCGTACAGAAGTTGAACATGGATTGGTTTACTGAGATTTGTCGTTGGTCGAACTGCTGTGAGGTAGTTTTTCATGAGAGTATTATGTAGTCTTTGTTCATGGGCGAAAATATCTGCGAAGTAATTGTATCAAATAGTCAGTCACAGTTTCATCCTCATTCTACTAGTATTTTATATATTTGTTAACATGACTACAGCATCTATCAAAAATTAAAGATTCAATTTTTTTGAGAATACAATATTTTTTTCAGTTTTTAGTATCCTTTGCAACAGCCAAGACCTCTTACATACGTATGAAAATCTAAATACTGCAGGAATTAATATATTGTGTGTAACAATACCTGGTATTTCCGAATAAACAGGCAAATGTACATCAAGCAACATTGCCCCATTTAAACGTAGACGTGAAACAAAGTGTCATGAATCCTTAAAAACAGTCTATTTATATACAAATATTATATTACAGTTGCACATGTCATTTGTCACTTAATTTTATTATCGTAACCTTGAAGACTGGATATATGGGTATACGATATATACCTAACATGATGATTTTATGTTTTAAAATATATAAGCATAATGTATTTTGCATATACCTTAATAAGACCACAAAGGCTAGAATACTAGTAATCATTACAATCAAGAGGGATCATGGCTCAAATATTGAAAAGTTTGTATGCCAGTTCAAAGCATTGTAATAGGCATTTAGATTGTCACATGTAGGTTTGATATAAACAATATTTTCATGGACTGCATTATGGCAATGGCATTATTAAATTTTTTATGAAAAAAAAACGATACAATTTTACTGCATGCAAACAAAATATGACCGGTAAACTCCATCCGATGTGCGAGAATGGGACACATCTGTTTATTGCAAAGTGATGTGTGAGACCCCTCCGTATATACAGTGTATCTCAGGTCATTGGAATTCAATTAAAGATTATATCTTACCTGCTTTTATAAGGCTAATACACAAAGCATTAAATAAAAAGAAAACTCCTTTCTTCTTGAACATGTCGGTATTAATTCTCCAGTCATTGGAATGAAAAAAAAATTGCGATTTATGTATATGTGTACATGTATGTATAGGAAAACATTTCGAGGTTCACTAAAGGTTAAAATGTGATTTCCAAAGCAAAAATTGAGGAGAAAAAATATAAATATAAAATTCATTACAATAGTATGACAAATATCATGATAAATACAACGTTATATACTGGAACGGTTTTTAGAAAAAGAAAAGTTTCAGCAGTTTATCCTTAACGCAAATCCCTCCAAATAAATATTAGAAGTCGTAAATAAATATGATCAGACATATAATTATGTTATGTATATGTCAGTTGTGATTAGAAAGTTTGATATATTTTCAAAATAACCAGTTATTTAAACAACCAAAAAAAAAAAAGATCTTTGAAGGGCTTTAAGAATGAATAAATTTGAGTTCCCCTATTTACACCCCTAAGGGTTTACAAGCTTTCGCATAATGCCAACATCGATCGTATTTCAGATTTATTCAGGCGATCACCATAGGGTAACTGAAGCGACTAAAATTTTTGTCGGTATCACATTTTCCTGACTGCACTGTCCTCTTCTACATACAAAGTTTTTTTTTCTAATTTGTCGAATAAAATTCCTTAAGTGATAATTTTATAATTGGTTATTTTTAAAATGTTAAGTTGATAAAATACTTTAAAATGCCTTTAAAAATTCCTAAACATTAATTCATATCAAGCAGAATTTGTTCCGAATTTTTTTACGTGAAAAGAAACACTAGCTGTGGCCTTCAACTTGACATTTTGATGTATCGATGACGTATTGTGAATCACCGATAGTTACAATGTATTTTCATTCATACGTCGATACGATATATCCAGGTGAGCTTGAAATAACGAAGTATATGGAGATAACGTACAGTATTCAATATCAAAGTTCATAAAACAATACAAAATAGAAGCAGAGCAAACACAGACCTCTAAAACATCAGAGGTGGGATCAGGTGCCATTGAGTAATGAGAATCCTCAGCTGACCGGTCACACCCGCCGTGTGCTCCTTATCATAATCGGGAAATAGCGGAAAAATTCGTCGTCAATTTAGTGTATAAATAAGAGAATAACAATTAGTATGAAAAACGTCAGTAAGCATTTGACTCAATGATAATTTGTATTTGCTGACAAAATTATTTTGTCGACCAAGGAACTTACAAAATGATGACTTTAATCGAGACTGCTGATATTCTTGTTTCATCAACTTGTTTGTCAATAATTTACATCGTTTTAGACATTGTTCATACGTAAAGCATGCTCTTGTATATCTCTTGTATATATAATCAACTGAGATATCTTAACGCCATATGCAGGTGATGAAGGTATATTACTGCATAAGTAAGGGAAGTTGACGATAGAAAAGTTAAAGTCATCACGTTTATCATAAAGCTTGGTTGTTAGATTACCATTAACGTCTTTGTGAAGTAAAATATCCAAGTATGAAACAAATGTGTTAGACTCTGTGGTATCTTTTATCTCAAACTCACCAGGATATATCGTATCGACATAAGAATGGAAATAACCATTGTTAATTGACAATACGTCGTCGATATCGCAAAATGTTGAGTTGAAGGCCACAGCAAGTGTTTTCTTCTTTTCACGTATAAGATTTTGCAATAATTCTGCTTCATATGAATACAAAAAAGGTCTGCTATAAATATAAATAATTAAAAGATACCCCAGAGTCTGACATGTTTGTTTCATATTTGGATCTTTTAGTAGAAAAAGACGCTAATGGTAATCTAACAACAAAGCTTTATGATAAATGTGATGACTTTAACTTTCAATGGTCAACTTCCCTTATGCAGCAGTATACTTTGTCACCTATATACGGAGTCATATCTCTCAATTTTTCCATACTGAAGAGCATATTCTACGTATGAACATTTTCTAAAATAAGGTATAAGTTATTTTAAGCAAGTTAATGAAGCAATAATGAAAGCAGTCTCGTTTTAAATCATCATTTTGTAAGCTCTATATTCAATATCACGAACTTGTCAGCAAACACAATTTATCTTTAAGGCAAATGCTGACTGACTTTTTTCATACAGATTGTTAGGCCATTATTTACACACTTATATTTCCACGGATTTTTACCTTAATTTCCCAATCGTGACAAGGAACATACGGCGGATGTGAGCTGTCGGCAGGGAATACTCACTCTTCCATGGCACCTGATCCCACCTCTGATGTCTTGGAGGTACGTGTTTGCTGCGCTGCTATTTTGTAATGTTTAATGGACTTCTGAGCTCGAATACTGTACGTTATCTTCACATTTTCTCTACATTTAAAACTATAAGAAGGGGAGATATAAAACAGACGTGGCAGACTCTGATTTTAACGATGACCAACTACAAGATATAATATTCCCGAGTTGCACTTTTATTGAAGAAGCTGTTGAATATTGTATTAAAAAGACTATGTTTATTATTTATCGTTTTTACATGAAACATATAAAGTTAGGATATTTTAAATTATATCTTTAGGTCTTAATTTTTAACCATATATTAGTATCACCGGTTGTGCATGCTAAGCAGGGCTGTAGTTAAAAGAAGAACAAGAACATTCAGACGATTTTGTTTCAAATGATCAATTTCTAGGCACAAATATTTCGTTGGGGATTAAATTTCGTTTATTTCGTTGTTAACAATTATCAACGAAATTAAATCACACAGAAAATTTGATATGACTTTATATTGAATAGGGTTACTTTCAAAACAATGAAATTAAATGCCCACGAAAATATTTTGGATGACAAATAAAGGAAATTTTATCCCCACGAAAAACTTATGCTTCTACTGTAGTTTGAAAGATTTAAAGCAACATTTTTGTTATATCTGTAGAAATGTAGTTTTTCAACGTGAAATAATTACTGTGGAATGCAATTCTTCATGTATTGATAAAAAATGTACATAAGATTATTATTATTAACAGCACCTTTTTTTTGTTAAAATAAAAATAAAGGGACCAGACGGATTGAAATATCTTACGACACACGTGATTACTTAGAGGGTTGGTTCTTTGCAACATCTATAATCACAATCACAAGTTTGAATTTTGAAATGTGAAGACTTGTTTTTATTTCCTGATATAATTTATAATTCATTAAAAAGAATTCAGAAGAACTGAGTATAAATTAGTATAACTGAGTATAAATTACTGCAAATATAAGGATTGAATTGTATATTTACGTAAGCTTAAGGTAAAAAAAAATCAAAGGACACAAAATGTATATACATGTACATGTATAATTATCGGTATATTTATTGTATAATCTACGTCCGAAGAATGCAATGCCTTCTTCAAGTTGTATTGTTCCTGAATATTTTCCCCCTTTTTTAATGGATTAGGGAAAACTAAAACAGGAACTTGTTAATGATGATGTTTTTCTCGACAATTCCTACCCTCGTTGTTAACATATAGTGGTCAATTGGAAACCTTTTAAAGATATCACTTGTTCCAAACTTTCTTATCTTTCAAACCTATGCCCCCGACATTATCTTTATGAGTGAACTTCTCATTTTTTAACGATATGAAAAAAATTACACCACATTGTAAAGAAAATTCCAAGTTTTAGGCTTAGTCCTATGAGGTTGTTAGAAATCAAAGATTTTTTTTTCACAAAATATCTCAAGTTTCCTACTTTAGAAATTTGGTTCCATTTGGAAATGGAACTCATGGATTCTTATCTAAAAAGAAATTATAAAAATGCATCTATCTGAAACTTTGATTAATGAAATACAATGAATCGGTTTGCATCGTAAATTTGAAATCAACGTTGCATGTTCAGTCTCTTCAGAATATTTTTTGCTATACTCATTGAACTAAAATGGTGCATTAGGTTACAAATATCATTTAAACTGTATTCCGTATTTTGCCTTATTGTCCTCTAAAAGTAGACGCAATTTACCTAATTAAAAGAACCATCCTGATACTAACAATACACTAGAATACAAAAATACATTTATTACTTGTTATCAGGACATTTGCAGTTAGTTTGGGAATCATTAATTAAAAAAATGACTATTCAGATTGACAACAATTTCCCCACCATATTAAAGAAATACAATTTCTCAAAATCCCTTAATGCTTTGATGGCTAATTACAGCAAAACGTTACACAAACGTATCGGAAGACCACAGATACGAGGCCATAAAATGTTACATCAATTTGACGGATAAGTCGAAGTTTGATCGGTTCCTGTAAGGGTATCTTTTCCGGTGAGGTATTTTTAGATCTAGCCGGAAAATTGACAGTTGTATAAATTGTAATTATTCTGTGCAATTAAAAATTGTATCTTTTAAGAATGTATGGGTGCTGTTGTTAAGTTCAATTTTACTTCGATACATGTATATCGAGTCACAAATGAAGTTTTCAATTAGTATAACTATTAATAACATATCTATATAAATAAATATCAAGGCAATCTTTTTTTCTTCCCGTGTGATAATTTTTTATTTCTTTAAACCAAGATTTTTTTATTTCATTTTCATACACAAATTAATTATTATAAATTTAATTATTACTTCATTTGTTTCGTCAATTGCATATAATAGTACCCCTTCTTGCTTTGTTGTTTTCTTGTGAGAATTATCTTTCTTGGCATGTCAATAAAATTTAAGGTGACATGCCCTTGTAATGCAGGCCAGATATTTTACTACTGTAGACCTATTGCATTTGACTCTGTATTTTATTTAGCACCTTTGTTAGTAGTGTAGTAAAACCACCTTAGACAAAGCTGGTATACGCACTATTGTATTGTTTAATTACCATGAAACTACTTAAATCAATAGTAAAACCAGCAAATAAAATCTTTGATAGATTTATTTTACACGCTGAATCCAACATGATGTAGAAAATATTATGTTTGTGTTTTGCGTGCAGCAGTAGTAGATTTCTTTTCTATTTTCCGGTACACGATGACTTGACATTAATTAATTAATTGAAAAATCCATCTGTAATCAAATTGCAGCCACTATCAAGCATGAAATC